TTTTTACTGTAGGATTAATTAAACATAATTTAATACTCTTACTGTAGAAATTTAGTAACTTTTTTTGATAAGTTTTACATATTATACTATAATAGGGTGTGCCAAAATGTAACTTCCTTGATGGACCTCTAAAAATTGGAATTTTGAGTTCCGCTTTTAACAGGAGTTGTGTTTGGGCATTTCCTATTTTAAGCGTCAGGGATTTATTTGATTTTCATAAAATTTTTTAACAGGAGTTTTGTTTAGGCATTTTTGCTGAAATTTCAAAATTTGGCCCAACAAAACTATAATCTTTAACGTGCAAACGATAAATATAAAAGTTGGAATTATTAATTAATATTTTTAAAAATTTAAACAATACTAAAGTTAGCCGACGTTCTAGATTTTTTTTAAATAAAAGCTAAAAAATATTTAAAAAAAAAAAATTGTTTTAAAAAAAGTTTTTGACAAATATAGTTTTTTACATAAAATTCAAAAAAAAAAAAATATTATTTTTAACGAAATTATTAATTTTAATTAATTTCAATTCATTTTAATGAATTTTAATTAATTTACAAGCATGTATGGAATTCACTCACATTCCATGCTTGTAAAGGTGGACCCTAGGAACTCCGCCGTCCATCTTACGGCATAAAATAAATATTATTATTTTTAACGAAATTATTAATTTTAATCAATTTCAATTCATTTGAATTCATTTTTTTAAAATAATTTTTTCAATAAAAAAAATTACAAAAATTTTTAAATGTCGGCTAACTTAATTTTCATAAAATGTAGACATTCATATAAATTTAATTACTATTTTAAATATTATTTATTATTATCTGAATATTATTTATTATTTGTTTTTTTTTTAATTTTTTCCGTGTACGTATGACATAAATATAAAAAAAAATAAATAATATAATAATAATAATAATAATAATATAAATGAATATTATCAATCAAAACACGTGTGTCAATTTAGTTTATAGTATACGATTGAGAATAAATACGCTCAAATTTATTTTTTTATCGCCCAAGTATTGTCCCTCGAAGGGAATACAAATGAGCAAGGTAAAAAAAGGTATAAAAATTAAATGACGGTACGTACATACATACAAAGGAGTAGAGTGTGACGACGGAGTGCAAGGACGTAACAGAATAGTTTGACGTAGGTAAGGGGTAGGGGTGGTTCGATAGAGCTCCGAGCTAGTACCAGACCACCAGAGCAGCTGATTCGACTATCCGGTACTCAGGTACTCCGGGCCAGGGTCGCCAGACAAACTTTATACATACGCGAGCTACTATTATTCTGCTCCTACCGCCTCCCACTGCTTGCTGGCTACCCTCTGCTCGATATTTACACAATTTTCCTCTACAACTTGTATTAGAAAAGATTGTTGCAATTTCTGTAATGTAAAACATAAGGAGCGTAATATTGGCCTTTCTATGGGAAAGTTGCCCTGAGCTTAAATGAACCGAGTTACTGCGGCTAAATGTTACTGAATCTTTATTAAACGACCCGTCAAGATCATATCATCGCACTCCAGTCAAAGGTCTGGGTCAGAGACTAAATTCTCGGGTATTATATATAATAATCTTATTTTCTTTTTTATCATCCATCTTTCGCTTAGATCCTAGGAAATTGTACAATTGAATAAACATAAAATTTTTATTAGAATCTTTGGATCTAAAAATATTTTTGAGGTAAATTTTATTGCAAATTTTGCATCTATTTAAATATGAAAATTAATTTTTTATTTATTTACTTAAAGTCGCGTCAATTAAAAATTAAGTATTATACTGACGTTAGCAGACAAAATTTTGGTAAATATTTACAAGGGGTCAAACATTTTAATTTTCATATTTTTGAACGAAATTTCTTACATTTTTTTTTTTTGAAAAATACATAAAAAAATAAACAATTAAAAAAAAAATGTTGATTATCAGTATCACAATTTTAACAAATTCTACAAATTTAAAAAAAAAATTATAAATTTTTTAGAAAATTGTGATATTTAATTTTTTTTAAATTATTCGTTTTTTTATGTACTTGTCAAAAAAAAAGATAAAATAGAAATTTTATCCAAAAACAGGAGAGCCAAAATTTTTTCCAATTTTTGAAGGCAAAAAAGCTATCGAAATCTTTATTCTTTTCTTTCACGACATTTTTTTTCATAAATGCGCAGTAAAAACGAGCAGAATAAAAAAAAAATTTGAAAATGACAATTTTTCACCTAGTTCTTGCCCAAAATCGGGTTAACCCCCCTTGTAAATAATTTCCAAAATTTTTTATAACATTTAAATTATAATGAAAAAAATTTAGAAAAAAATTGACGTAAAAATTTTGAAAAAATTATAAATGGGAATTTTTTTAAATATTTTTTTTTTCAAAATTATTGATTTGCTATAAAAATTTCAAAGTATTCTTTTATTTGTTGAATTATATATTATAGTGCGATAATTAATAATTACACTGAGAAAAAAAATTTTCTTTTGAAAAAAGATGTCAGCAATAATGTGACAAAAAATTTTATTTTTTATTGCATTGCTTATTTTTTTTTTAAATAAACTTTTTCTCTCAATTTAATTATTTAAATTAAAAATTTTAATTTAACAATTTTTTATTTTTTTAACTTAAAAAAAATAACTAGAAATTTTTTAATCAATATAAAAAAAAAACATAAATCATTATTGCATCTATTCTATTATCATTCTACTTAGTAAGAAATAATTTACTCAATTACAAATAATAAGTGTACGACAAGTAATAATTTATGTTGAATAATTACAGCTGAAGAAAGTCAAGCTAAATTTCTATCAGTACATCCATGTAATCAATTTGCCAAGAGGTATACAATTTACGGAGCGACCTATAGGAAATAATAATAATAATAATTAAATCAACAAAACCCACATATATCTACAAGAGGTCCAATCGACCCGTACCACAATAGATTGACTCCAATCCCCGGGTATCTTCACTCAGAATTTACACGTAGTAAAAAAAATTCTGTTCTCTTATATCCGAGCATACTTTGGGAACTTGAGCATACCGTTATCGATTATGCATTCCACCAGGCAACCAGGTAACCACCTGTGTCTCCAACCCGTCGCCCGATTGGGCTCCACGTGACAATTTAAATAAGATATAAGAAAGTCTCCCAATACATTACCTATCAAGCCACAATATAAGCTACAAGCTACCTACAACTACCCACGTTAATTTTTGGGATGACTCATTGGCATTCCCTCGGTCCGTAACCCAGAAACCCGCAAAAAATTTGTATCATCACACGTTTATCATTTATCATCAATGTAACCTTGCGTCTTAACTAAAATGTAGTTTAATTACACTGAAAAAAAAATTCATTTGAATCAATAGAAAAATTCTTGAACCTAGAAAATTATTTTGGAGAATTGTAATGAAAATGTTGATTTTTTTAACAAATAAATTATGGCAAAAAAATTGACATTTGGAAATTCAAAAAAATTTTTGAAAATTTGAAACCTCAGTTTTTGAAAAATCATTTTTTTTAACAAATTTGTTTGTTAAAAAAAATTAAAAAATTATCTACTGACTGCTTACTTTAATGTCATATTTATAATTTAAAAAAAAAAAAATAATTTTTCTATCACTATAATTTGTAAATTAATTTATTTTTACTCTTATTCAACATAGAAATTTTGAAAAATTAAAAATGCAATTTTTCAAAAATAATTTTTTTTAACAAATTTGGTTGTTAATAAAATTATTTAAGATGGTTAAGTGCACGGAAAAAAGAAAAATCGAAAAATTACATTACAAATAGTACACAGTAAAAAATTTTGTGTTAAATATTTAACACTTTTATGTGTAAATTTAACCTTTATTGTGTTAAATCAACACAAAAAAGTGTTCAATATTCAATAAAAATTTTTAACACAAAATTTTTTGACGCAATGACGCAAAATTTTTTACTGTCTAATAAGCGTCGCTTCGTATAAAAAACTAGAAAAATTGCAGTTTGAAATAACATTTTTCTAAATTCAAACTTTGAATGTTAATTTTCAAAGCTTTCAATGTAATATTTACATTTTACAATGTGATTCTTACAAAATCTGTAATAATTAAAATCTCAAACTGTAATTTTTCCAGTTTTTTATCTGGAGCGCCACATTACATTATATAATTTTTTTTCCGTGTGCTTACTTAAATATCAGAGTTTTATCGTCTTAAATCCAAAAAATTTTTGAATCAAGTAAAATTAACTTAAACTCAAATTTTCTTCATTTAAGAATTTTTCAACTCAAATAAAGATGAATTTCTTAAAAATTACTTAATTAAATTATTTTTTCCGTGCAAATTTACTCGCCGTGATACACGTAACCAAGGTGTTAACGCTACGAGTTCTGATTACCATCCCGGCCGCTTAAATAATAAATAATAAATAATAAATAATAAACAACAAAGATAACATAAATATGGGAACTCCAAGTAGTAGGACAGTGTGTCGTTGCCGATACCGATCCCGATGGCAATTCCAATGCTGTCGCTGTTCCCCTTCTTTAGTAGCTTGACCTGGTCGTAGCTGGCCCACTTAATTCTTTGCTCTTTTTTCTTTTCATTTTCTCTGGGCCTTTTCATTCAGCTAGGCCAATTAAATGACAATTAAAAGAACACATCACCTTAAAAATGAATCCTTTATTAATTAAAATTAAATAAACTTAATCAATGTTAATTTTAAAGGTGATCCTGGTTAGCCATAGTCTTCCCCCTCCCTTGTTCTGGAAGTAAATAAATCCCTACTCTGATGCCCCTTCTCAGCTCCGGAAGAACAAGTTGAGTCCCCTCTTAAAAATGAGGCCCATATTCTCACTGAAGATATTTCAGTTTGTCACTTATACCTGACTATTATATTTATATATTTGTATATAAATGTTCCCTTTCTCTCAAACTCAGTAACTTCTTCCGGGACTTACCGTCTTGTCCTGTCCTCCTGTCTAGTCTCGACTCTCTCAATTCGCGATTACCACCACATTGAAGCCCGTCTGTATAAATAAAGCCTCGGTACTCACATAAGTACAAGTACAAGTACTACCAGTAGAGTTAACAATAATAACAAGTGGGGAACAGAGAAGTGTGTAGCCCATACCATACCAATGCTCTATCCAATCTCTGATGACTTTGCCGATGCATTCCCGGCACATGCCATGCCGGTCAGACGTGTACCGTCCACATTACCTTCCGGATGGATTGATAGTTGATAAAGACGGTTATCGGTCCAGCTTTCGGTTTTGTTTTCTTTTTATTGTTTTCCCCCCGGCGAATTCTTCTTCGGGACTCAATGACAAGTTCGCCAAGGTGTTGGTTTGTTTTTAGTGAAGTGTTAGACTTATTTTAATTATTTTTATTATTGATATGTTTATTGTTGTCCATTCAAAGGAATAATTTTTAGTTTTTATCTTCTTATTAAAATAATTAATGGTAAGTTTTATTCTTTTTTATTTAAAATTTTTCGAGAAAAATTTTACAAAAAATTTTTAAATGTTAAGGTCAGATTGTCCTACTTTCAAGATCAGGTTCTCGGTCGTTGGTCGTGACCGGTCGCAGCCTCGTGGTACAAGTTAAACATCTTTTTACTCGTTTTTTTATTTATAAAATAAATAAAATAATTTTATTTAAAAAAAAAATTTTTATTAATAAAAATTGTCAGATAATTAATAAAAAAAAAAATTTCTAAATACTCTGTACCGATTCCCACGTGTTTGATAATATACAATAAATATATAAATATACACTACTATACAAATATATCTATAAAGTTAAAATGCCGTTGAATAGACAGTAAATGTAAAATGTAGATTTGATTTGTTGATGATGCGTTCACTGACAAGAGATTTACTAACGGTCCACACTTTGACGTGAATGACTTGCTTCTAAGAAGACTAATATAATAATAATTATATCTATCTCATGTATTACTCATCTCTAAAATCTTTTTTTCATCCTTTCTTTATTGACAAAAAAAAAAATTCTAAAGAAAGTGAAATAAATTATTGCTCGTAAATATTGTCAGGCTTAGATAAAAAAATTTGTAGAGAGAGAGAGCTGTGAAAATAGTTAAGAATGTCCGAGAATAAGGAATAGTTTAAAGATATTCCTTAAGTTAAACTCAGTACAGGGTGGGAACAATCAGGTCACCCAGATTTAGCAGAACTCGGTTCTATACTCTGTTTAATAAAAAGACACTGAGGTATCCTACTACTACTACAATATATTTGCTTTATTACTGTGTTGAGGACGTCTGCTCAACAGAATTAAGAACGAGCTTTCTCCATCGCAACTTTTATACATATATTTTATAATAAATGATAATAATAATAATAGTAATAAAACAAGTAACCCATTTACATTAGATGCGTACTGATTATTACTAAGTATTACCGTTTAAATGCTATTATTCAAATTCCTTTTATTGTTGTTGTTATTATTGTTCCTGTTAATGTTTTATCTTTTATGAGTCCTGTACACGTAATACAATGATTTAATTGATTATAAAAATTATTAATGTACTTTATTGCTGGTCTTAATTGTTTGTTTAAAAGAAAAAAAAAATAAGATATTGTTTTTAATTTAGAAAGCTATTGTTTCAACGCGATTAATTTTTATGTCATTTTTAAATAGGCAATTTTTATAGAAATAAGTAAATTTTATTTTATTTTATGAAAAAATAATGATAATAATAATAAATGTTAGTTATTAAAATAATGTCTAGTTATTTTTTTAAAGCATCTAATTTTAAAAAACATTTATTTTTTTTATTTTTACTTAAACTAAAATTTTCTTTAAAAATTTGAAGCAATTATTATTATTATTATTATTATTACTATATAAAAATTAATAATAATAATATTTATAATAAATTTTATTTTATAAATAATTATTTTTCATTAAAGTGTTGAAGTAAATATTAAATGATAGATATCAAAAAGGATTTGATTTTTTACACGCGTAATGTTTACTTAGTATAAAAAAAAAAAAAAAAATAATGATAATATTGAACCGGTGATTTTTTTCATTAAATTTACGTTAATCCACACACTTTAGCACCGATAATTGTTACGTGTATGTGTGGACGACGTATATATTTAGCAAAATATAGTGTTCACTGTAGCGAGCATGTACGGGTATATATAGTTGAATACGCGGTTGTATAACGGTAAATAAAATCGTCAGGAGCAGAAGCACCAGCAGCAAACAAACATAAAGGTATTCGCGTAAAGTGCGTGCGTGAATCACGGAGTTGAACGTGTAGATCACGCACTCCTCTAGATACTAGAGCTACGGCTCTGTCCGGATAAAATGGTCCATCCTCGCTATGCTCATTGATTTTATTAATTACGAAACACCTTACTCTACTTAGTTTATTACCTGCGGACTTTATTATTAGATTTTTTTCACCCAAATCAATCTATAATTTTATTTAATTATTTACAGATGGCTTCGCAAAGATATGTTTATCTACTTGTAGTCTACTGCTACTGCCTGGGAATATTTGCTACTAAGAGCACATTTTCAGAGCACAGTCGAGGTAATTAAAAATTTATTTATTGTATGTTGATTATTTTTAATTTTGAATCAATACAAAAAAGTGTTGAAAATTTTTTATTAAAAATTAAACAAAATTTTTGTATCCAAAATTTAACACAAATTTTTTTATTAAAAATTTAACGAAGAAATTTTGCCCACGAATATTTATTAAAAAATTAAGCCAATATTTTTCAACACAAATTTTTGAGTTAAAAATTTGACAAAAAATGTTTTACTACAAATTTTTGTGTTAAAAATTAAATAAAAAATTTTTTAACACAGATATTTATTAAAAAATTAACACTCAATTATTAAACACAAATTTTTGAGTTAAAAATTAAAAAAAAAAATTCTTTACCACAAATTTTTTGGTTAAAAATTGAAAAAAAAATTTTTCAACACAAAAATTTATTAAAAAATTAACACAAAATTGTTCAACACAAATTTTTGAGTCAAAAATTGAAAAAAAAATATTTTACTACAAATTTTTGTGTTAAAAATTGAAAAAAAAATTTTTATTACAAATTTTTGTATCAAAAATTGAATAAAAAAATTTCCAACCCAAATTTTTATTAAAAATTAATCAAAAAATTTTTTTTACGCAATTAAGCAAAATTATAACAATCTACAAACTATCTCAAAAACTAACCCCTAATTTATCTGTTTAAAGGCCGGAAGTTGTTCGGTGGGTACCGAATAGAGCCAAAAGTGTGTCGCCCATCAAACCCCTCGCGAGTGCGTGGGGAGGACCCACCAATCTGTATGTTCAATTACGAATGCAGCCAGCGAAATGGGCAAGTCGTTGGAGCTTGCATGGACGGCTTCTTATTCGGAGCTTGCTGTCAACTGCCAGCGTCCTCATCTTCCTCTTTGTTATCATCAGCGACCTTCCCGCCCTTCCCGCCAGTCGACCATGAAACAAAAACCTTCGAAACAACCAAAAAATCAACTTCAACTCCCTCTTTCGACCACCAGAGCACCATGGACGATTTATCTCAGCCCGACATCCTGGAGAACCCCGACAACAGCCTCCAAAATAAACAAGAGCCATCGGAGCTTAAACCGGTAGCGACATTAACGCGCCCGGATCAGGTTCTCCAAATAGATCCGGTGTATCACTTGCCTAGTTTATTCTCCCACGGGCTTCCCGCGAGCAACACCTCGCACCTGGAAACAGTTCTGCTGGACCAAAACGGGACTGCGATCGACAACAAGATCGATTTTTCCTTCAAGCCCCGACCCACCAATCGGTCCACAGTCTCCCCCTCCTACTCCTCCTCCCCCGCCGTCGCAACTACAAAAAAATTGGGCTCCAGCACCGAAAGCACTCGCTTGCGTCCTACCCACTATATGAACACCCACCTCATCTCCTCCAGCACGGAGTCAAATTTAGTCCGCGTGAACACTTTGCCCGGCAACAAAAAACACGACGACTCAAATGACTTTCACAAAGAGGAGATTGCGATAAATCATATAATATCGATTCTGAACGCTAGTACGCCAAGTGGATCGAGCGCATCTTCCTCCCATGTCACGCAGCAATTAAATACCGGAAGCTCATCGATTCACGGATGGGTGACCATCGATGACACATCGGAATCAACAAACACTCAAACCTTTCCTTATACATACTACAAACCCGTTCAATCAACAAAACCCGCTAATTTCTACCATTACCAAGTCGCCTCCTCGACTCCGCTCGTTTCCACGACTAAAAGCAAACCAACCCGACCTTCTAATATAATTTTATCCTCCGACTTTACTCACAAAAATAACTACAACTATCCAACCACTCAAAGTTTGTCTTCTAGTTATCAATATTTGTCCACTAAGCCAACGACTCTCCCACCCGCACCTACTGTTATTGTTTTGGGGCCACTTGGGACCAATGATTTTACCAGTGTTACTTCTCCTAAGCCGTTCACGAAGCGACCTAATAATAATAATAATAATAATAATAATCATCAGCAGCAAAATAAACCAATTTATTCCTCTTCTTCTTCTTCATATTATTCTTCAGCCAAACCTTCCTCGCCAAAACCTTTTAATAAATCTACAATAAAACCGAATCAAACTAAAAAACCGGGAACTACAATAACCCACAATATAAGCACGGTTATTTCAACAGACAGTGCTGACACTTCGAGCAGCAGTAATATTATTTCAACAAGCTTTATTAATGTTAAATTGAAAGATTCGACGAGTCCAAAGCCTTCTGGTACAAGTGGAGCGACTTCAACGTCTTCTTCGACGATAACAACAACTGTTGTGACCAAAAAGCCAACTGTCTGGACGACGTTGTCCGCTTGGTCGAGCAAGCCTAGTTTTCAGCTGAGACCTGGACAGACTGATCTGGAGTGGACTCATGAAGGCTTAACGCCGGTTCATACGATTGTTTTTAAGCCTACGTCGAAGCCAGTAAGTAATATTGTCACTGTTGAAAGCGACGAGGTCGAAGGAGCGACTACCACTAACGATCACTTGATAAACTTCCCTCCAGACCGCAATCCTAATTTGACCAATTCTACTCCGACTTCTCAGCAAGAAAAGCCGACGATTGTCGAAGCTTCGAATAATACTAATCAGGAGGTTGAAATTGAGAATGAAAATGAAATTCACACACCGAGTTTTATTGAAGACGAAGTTCTGACCAATAAAGTTGACGATTTTGTCAATAAAATTGTAGATTCTTTGCAAGGAAATTTTCAAGATTTGAAGGACATTGTTTATAGTAAGAAAAATGCAACCACTCCGACGGTTGTTACCAAAAAACCTCCGACGAAAAGACCCACTCAGCAGAAAGTTACGACCAAAAAACCACCGACCAAGCGACCTGTTAAGCCCGCTACTTACGCAGCTACTACGGGAAAACCTGTTAAGGTTACAAAGCCTGACAAAGTCACTACGGGTATTGTTTCAAGCACCAAGAGACCTATTGTCACCACCAAACGACCTGTCAAACCCACTAAAAAGGTTAATGTTACCAGTAGTAGTGTTTCAACTACTCAAAAGGTTGAATTTCAACAAACCACTGAGGCTTATTCCGCTTCCGAGACTACTCTATTTTCTACAACGCCGGATTTTCGTAGAGGTGAAATTACATTAAAATAAAAATGATACTGAATGTTTAACAATTATTGAAATTTTTATAACAAATAAATTATGGAAATATTTTAAAAAATTCGCACTTTAATGCATGTGAAATTTTTTAAATTATTTATCTGTTATAAAAATTAAAAAAAATTAAATTCAGTATCATAAATAAAATTATTCTTATCAAATGTTTTGTTAATTTATTTATTTATTTATTTATTTATTTATTTATGATAACTTGTTGTTTAATAAAATAAATTTTATAAAAATAATTAAGCACATCTAAGTAATTTATTGATATTTATTTTTAATTTTAAATAAATTCCCTCGGTAGTTTATTGTATATTTAATTAATAAATTTGTTTGTTAGAGTGTGGAGTAAGACCAATGATTAAGACAGGACGTGTTGTTGGTGGTAGAAATGCAACATTTGGTGAATGGCCATGGCAAGTATTGGTACGCGAAGCCACATGGCTTGGATTATTTACGAAAAATAAATGTGGAGGTGTACTTATTACTGAAAAATATGTTATTACTGCTGCGCATTGTCAACCTGGGTAAAAATTTGTTTTTATACTTTTTTTTGGTTTAGAATAATATTAATAATAATAATAATAATAATAATAGTAAAAAAAAAATTTTTTTTCTTCTGATTTTTTAAAGATTTTTGGCGTCGCTAGTTGCAGTGTTCGGTGAATATGACATCTCAGGTGAGCTCGAGCAGCGAAGAAGTGTGTCAAGAAACGTAAGAAGAGTTATTGTTCATCGCGAATACGACGCCGCGTCGTTTGCTAACGATTTGGCGATCCTCGAGCTGGAGAAGCCGGTTGAATTTGACGCCCACATAGTTCCTATTTGTATGCCCGATGACAATACCGATTATGTGGGGAGAATGGCCACTGTCACTGGATGGGGTCGTGTTAAATACAGTAAGTCGATATTCATAATAATAATAATAATAATAATATAAAGGATTATTGAAATTTGTGAAAATGTTTTTTTTTTTAATCAGACGGCGGAGTTCCGTCGATTCTTCAAGAAGTTCAAGTTCCTATTATGGAAAATTCAGTGTGTCAAGAAATGTTCAGGACTGCGGGTCATTCGAAACTTATTTTAGACAGTTTTCTTTGCGCTGGATATGCTAATGGTCAAAAAGATTCTTGTGAGGTAATTTATATTTTTTTTTAAATTTAAATATTAATTTAATTAGTTTGGAAATTTTTTAAATTATTTATTAAATTAATTTTTTTAATTACTAATTGCATTAATATAAAACTCGTTAAATTATTAATTCAATTAATTTGAAATTTTTTAAAATTATTTATTCAATTAATATAAAATTTTTTAAAAATTATTAATTCAATTAATATGAATACTAGCAATCTTGTAGTCACTATGTGACTGCCGTGACTTGTGAATTATAAATAAATAAAATTTTGCTTTATTAAATAATGACTTTTGTTAAATTGCACTGTACTTTTTTAACTATTGACGTTTTTAAAGATATAAGCTCATCCCGATGTTATACTCATCAAGAGCTTTCATTTGAGTACCCACATGCATTTTCATATATTTTTCATATATACATATATATAATATATATAAATATATGAAAAATTGATGTGGGTACTCAAATGAAAGGTCTCGATGAGTGTAATATCGGGATGAGCTTATATCTTTAAAAATGTCAATAGTTCACAAGATACAAGGTAGTCTCTTAATTATGTTAAATTGCACTGTACTTTTTTAACTATTGACGTCTTTAAAGATATAAGCTCATACCGATGTTACACTCATCAAGAGTTTTCGTTTGAGTACCCACATACATTTTGATATATTTTTCATATATATAAATATATGAAATATATGAAAAATTGATGTGGGTACTCAAATGAAAGGTCTCGATGAGTGTAATGTCGAGGTGAGCTTATATCTTTAAAAATGTCATTAGTTTACAAGATACAAGATTATTTCTTAATTATCTTTCTACAGATAGAGTATTTTCGAATGCAGCCTAAATATGTATCATAATAAATTGACTATCGGTGAGAATAATATGAAACTTTGAAAAGGAACAAATTCAAGTCAAGACCTTTGCAATGACACTAAATTTCACTAAAAAAAAAAGATTTTATTATATGACTATTCTGGACACAAAATTTTTCTTATTCTTTTAATAATATAGATTATAAATTTAAGTAATATGAAAATTTTGAAAATTAATAATTAAATAAATTTTTTAATTATCAATTCAATTGATACGAAACTTTCTAAAAATATTAATTCAATTAATTTGAAAATTTTTCTATTGATTAATTCAGTTAATATAAAATTATTAATTGAATTAATTTAAACATTTTTTCATTTATTAATTCAATTAATCTAAAAATTATTAATATGAAAATTAGTTTTGTCATTAATTGAATTAATTTTTAATTATTAACTTAAATAACATAAAATTTTTAAAAATTATGACTAATTAATTTGAAAATTCTTAAAACGATTACTAAAATTAATTAAAAAATAAAGGGCGACAGTGGAGGTCCGCTAATGATGGAAAAACCAGACGGAAGATGGTTCTTAGTCGGTACAGTGTCTCACGGTATAAAATGCGCAGCTCCGTATTTACCAGGTGTCTACATGAGGACAGCGTACTTCAAACCTTGGCTCCACAGTGTCACCGGTGTTTGATATAATTATCCTTCCCAAAAATAAAAAATAAATAAAATCAATGTACTCTTAAAGCAACAGAGCATGTGTACAAAAGGACCTATTTATGCACGCGTGTCATGCTAATATATATATATATATATATATATTAAACATATAAATCTTCGACAAAGTACTGAGATAAATTGTACAAGACGGTCATTGATTATTAAATAATCCAATGATCCCCTAGGAAAAATTTATATTCGGTTTTTTATTAATTATTTATTTATTCAATACTGTAAATAATTTATTTATTTTTTTCCGTACAAATTTTTGTACTATACAAAATATATATAAGTTTAATTGTATTATAAATTATTATTATTTATGTGTATAAAATTTATTTATATAATTTAAAATTTGTTTTATCAATAGTCTTTATTTATTTTTTTTAAACAATAAATTTATGGAAGAAAAAAAAATTATATTTTGATTTTTATTTGTATATTTTTTGACCTTGTATGGAAAATATATATATATATATATATATATATAGATAAATTCATGAATAAATGTAATAAATTTATTTTATTCCGTGTAATTTAAACAAAAGGTAAGGTGAAGTTATAAAGTTTTAAAGTTCCCGGTGTTCTATCTGATTTTAATGCAACAAGAACAAGGATCCGTTGTTATATAAATGTTAAGGGTTGAATATGTATAAATATATATATATATATATATATATTAGCATGACACGCGTGCATAAATAGGTCCTTTTGTACACATGCTCTGTTGCTTTAAGAGTACATTGATTTTATTTATTTTTTATTTTTGGGAAGGATAATTATATCAAACACCGGTGACACTGTGGAGCCAAGGTTTGAAGTACGCTGTCCTCATGTAGACACCTGGTAAATACGGAGCTGCGCATTTTATACCGTGAGACACTGTACCGACTAAGAACCATCTTCCGTCTGGTTTTTCCATCATTAGCGGACCTCCACTGTCGCCCTTTATTTTTTAATTAATTTTAGTAAGTATTATATATATATGTATAAGTGTGACTGGAAGTTATAATGTATGGGAGATGCTCTACGGATCAATAAAGAGAGAGTAGGAAAGATACATCTGTTTAACTTTTAAGAAAGAACGAGCGCGAGCTACCGCCTACGCTTTAAATTAACTTCCATCACGAACTTTTTTATAAAAAACGTCATTATTAACGTCATTATCTTTATTAACTTATCGAAAAAAAATAATTAGTTAAAATAAAATGTTTAATTATTTAAACAATCCAAGTTTAAAATAAAATAAAATTAATGATCTTTTTAAATTGATGATTTTTGGGGATTTTATCCAGGAGAGATTTTTATCGGAATGATAATAATAATATATTTATATTTATTATTATTATTTTTATTTTTATTTTTATTGTGCAAAAGTGAAATTTCATGAATAAATGATATTAAAAAAATAATTTAATTTAATATTATTATAAATACGCATGCGTGAATTTTGTCGCTCCCACTAGAGAATCGCGGCTGAAGAAGAGTAATGTAAAGCTCTGCAGCACACACGGTACACGATTCCTACCAGTTTTCTCCAGTCATTCGAACCCTCGACAGTACTTAAATTTTATTGGCTTAATAATAATTCATAATAAATATTTTATTTTGCTGTTTAAAAGTAAAATTGTGCTAGTTTTTGTTTTACCGGTAAGTATTTATTTTTATTGCGCAATTTTTATTTATTTTTAATTATAAGTCAGATAAATAAGAAATTTACTTTTGCCCCACCCCCTCTCTCCCCTAAAAATCTCGGTAATAATTAATCGGATTTATGAAACTAAAAGGCAGAAAAAAAAACGATAATTAATATTAATATCCTTATAAAACTCTTTAACATTTTATAAATGTCACTTGCGATATAATAAGAACCTATTATTACATCACTTAACACAACCATAATTAATATCGGTGTCTAAAATCAATTTTTCAATTAAATGTTCAGAGAATCAATATTCATGCATTTTGTATACTTGCGATAAATTTAATTGTTTTTTCTTTCGCCCTTTTTGTGACCTTGTTTTTAAATAGCTTTTGTTTGAGATGTTTTCATAGAAGCATTGTTTGTTTTTTTTATTTCAGAAAAAAAGGTATTGAGCCGACAAAAATGATTAATAAATTGGGTATATTGATTGGTATTGTGATGATGCAGCAGCATATTGAAGTAAATGCCTGGGGGGGTTTATTTAATCGCTTTACTCCAGAGATGTTATCTAATCTCGGTTATGGTGGTCATTCGGGTGGATACAAACCTTCGTATATGCAGGTAATACTTTTATTCTATACCCTTTATAACTTATGTACCTCATAGGAGTTTTACCTTTTCACCTTTTATCATCGATTAATCCTTTTTTTTATTTTTTATTTTTTTATTAACTGCTTTAAGACACACGATCTTATAACAACAATTCTAATAAGTTTTTTCAATCTAAACTAAAAAAAATTATTATTATTATTATTATTATTATTATCCAACAGCAATTTCGAGTTATTATTATTAATAATAATAATAATAACTAGAAACCTTACAGTCACTGTGGAACTGCCGTGACTTGTCAACTATAAATAAATAAAATTTTGCTTTATTAAATAATTAGTTTTGTTAAATTGCACTGTACTTTTTTAAATATTGACGTTTTTAAAGATATAAGCACATCCCGATGTTACACTCATCAAGAGCTTTCATTTGAGTACCCACATGCATTTTGATATATTTTTCATATATACATATATATATAGTATATATAAATATATGAAAAATTGATGTGGGTACTCAAATGAAAGGTCTTGATGAGTGCAATATCGGGACGAGCTTATATTTTTAAAAATGTCAATAGTTCACAAAATATTTGTTAAAATGCCCTGTATTTTCTTAACTATTGACATTTTTAAAGATATAAGCTCATCCCGATGTTACACTCATCGAGACGTTTCATTTGAGTACCCACATGCATTTTGATATATTTTTCATGTATATAAATATATGAAATATATGAAAAATTGATGTAGGTACTCAAATGAAAGGTCTCGATGAGTGTAATGTCGAGGTGAGCTTATATCTTTAAAAATGTCATTAATTTACAAGATACAAGATTATTTCTTAATTATCTTTCTAGAGATAGAGTATTTTCGAATGCAGCCTAAATATTTATCTTAATAAATTGACTATCGGTGAGAATGATATGAAACCTTGAAAAGGGACAAATTCAAGTCAAGACCTTTGCAATGACACTAAATTTCACTAAAAAAAAACAATTTTTTCATATAAATAAGATAGATAATAATAATTATTATTATCATACAAATAATTTTCATATAAATAAAATAGATAATAATAATAATAAGTTTTTAAATACGGAGTTTTATTATTATTATTAAAAATTTTTTTTGAAAAAACAATAACAATAATATTATATGGTTGGATCGATTAACAGCGACCGCTAACAGGAAATTATGCGAACAATTTTGCGGAAGGTTTGGAAACTATTGATGATCTTTGTGAAGATAGAAGATGCGTTTCAAATGAATATTGTTGTTCAGGTCAAATTTGCATCTTTGATCGAGGTACGTCATTAAAATATATTGAATAAATTATTTTTCAATTATAATTAATTATAATAAATAAATTATTTTGAATAATTTTATTTCATTCTTCAGATAACGAAGGATTTTGTGTATACCCGTTCGGGTTAAAACAAGGAGAATTATGCCGAAGAGACAGTGACTGTGAAACAGGTCTCATGTGTACTGATGTCATCGGAGCTGATACTAGGTCTTGCCAACCCCCAATTACTTCTAATAAACAATACAGTAAGTTTTTTTTCATGAAAAAAAAAAAAAATTAATATTGTCATAATTAATAATAAAAATTTATAAAAAAAAAAAAATTATTAACAGGTGAAGAATGTACCATTTCAAGCGAATGTGACATTACCCGAGGTCTTTGCTGTCAAGTTCAACGTCGTCATCGTCAGTCAACCCGAAAGGTCTGCTCGTACTTCAAAGACCCTCTTGTCTGCATCGGCCCCGTGGCTACCGATCAAATAAAGTCCGTGGTACAGTACACGTCAGGGGAAAAGCGAATTACTGGACAAAATAATAGAATTCTCTTCAAACGCGGTTTATTCATATAATTAAACAATTAAATATTTAATACGTTTTTCGCTTAAAATTTTTAAAAAATTTCTCGGATATTTAGTTGAAAAAAGGGAAAAAAAATAATTAATCTAGTCATTCAGTTTTAAAAATTTGAATTTTATTTTAAAAATAGAAATTAAGCTAAAAGGATGTGCGACTTCCATAAAATATCCTTCCTGATTATTGCGACTGAATAATAAAAGACATATCAAGTTATATTTGTTAGGGCGATAAGCTAATCTATTAAAATATAATATATATACATATCATGAGAAAATATATAAATAATATAATAGATAATAATATCCTCAACTACAGCACAAATTTAATCAACAAAAAATATAATACTTAATTTTTAAAAATATTATATATAAAACATATCAAATGCTGTGATTAGAATTCCAGCTTATTATTTTTATTTTGACAGACAGATTTTTAAAAATAGTTAAATTATATATTTATAATTTTATTGATAATAATTAAGTGATTAAAAATACATATCATTCACATATATTTAAAAAGAAATTGATGATCAATGCCTAATAATGCAATTAAAAATTTTGAAAAGAAAAAAAAAATTATATATATTAATTATAAAATGTTATTACAACATATTCTATTTATTAAATATATATATACATACAAATATATTTTTATCTTCAATTCAGAAGCTCTCTATACAATAATAAATATTATTTCTTGAAAATAATAAATGAAAGTAACTAATGAAAGTCTTTGTGAAAAAAAAATATTTTTAGTTTTTTTATTTAATTTTATACTGAACAAAAATATGTTTTTTATACAGTAGAAGAATTAAATAACAATTGTTTGAAAACTTTACAAAAATTATTTTCTTGGTATTTAATCGCAGACTAATTGTTTTTTTAATTTATTTTACGAATTGATGAATAGATTGTTGATAAAAACTAAAGAGGAATAAATATAATATTTTAGGCCATTTAGGCTGCGAGTCAAAAGTACCTTCAATCAACTTTTCTTCAATTATTGTTGTTATTATTACCATAATTATTATTATGTATTAATATTAATAAATATACAGTATGTACGTGAAATAATTATACTTTATTGTTCACGAGGTATAATAAAATAGTTAACTCACAAAATAAATAATTGTGCATAATATTCATTCATGGATTTATTTATTCATAAATATTTTTTAAACAAGTCCAGTGAAAGTAAGAGGTTGATTTTAAAACCGGTTGAAATTTAGGTCACTTTTTCACCATCAGGTCAAGATCAAATGCAATTATTACCAATTTTATTGATTGAAAAAAAAAAAGTAATACCATGAGGAAAGACAAAATCTTTTATTTGTCAAATATTATTATTATTATTATTAAGAGAATAAGAAAAATTTTGTGTCGAGGATAGTCATATAATAAAATCGGTTTTTTTAGTGAAATTTAGTGTCATTACAAAGGTCTTGATTTGAATTTGTGCCTTTTTAAGGTTTCATATCATTCTCACCGATAGTCAATTTATTATGACAAATATTTAGGCTGCATTCGAAAATTCTTTATTTCTAGATACAAAATTAAGTAATGACCTTGTATCGTGCGAAATATTGATATTTTTAAAGATATAAGCTCATCCCGATGTTACACTCATCAAGACCTTTCATTTAAGTACCCACATCATTTTTTCATATATTTATATATACTATATATATGTATATATGAAAAATATATCAAAATCCATGTGGGTACTCAAATGAAAGCTCTTGATGAGTGTAACATCGGGATGAGCTTATATCTTTAAAAACGTCAGTAGTTAAGAAAGTACAGCGCAATTTAACATAATTAAGAATCTACCTTGTATCTTGTGAACTATTGACATTTTTAAAGATACAAGCTCATCCCGATGTTATACTCATCAAGACCTTTCATTTAAGTACCCACATCATTCTTTCATATATTTATATATACTATATATATGTATATATGAAAAATATATCAAAATGCATGTGGGTACTCAAATGAAAGCTCTTGATGAGTGTAACATCGAGATGAGCTTATACTTTAAAAATGTCAATAGTTAAGAAAGTACAGTGCAATTCAACAAAATTCATTAATCAATAAAGCAAAATTTTATTTATTTATAGTTTACAAGTCACGGCAGTCACATAGTGACTGCAAGGTTGCTAGTTATTATTATTAGTATTATTATTATTACTTCTTTTTATTTATAAATCCCTTGATAAAAACCGCAATAAAATTTTCATAAAAAATCAACAAATATTTAAAGCCCAAATTATTTTTTTCCAAAATAAATAAATAAAAAATCACAAAGTTTTAAAAAGCGACAATTTAAGCGAAAGCGATATTGCATAAGTAGAAAAGCACCGAGCGCTAAAATCCATGTGTGTAAATATATATATTAACTCGTACTCATTCAAGACAACTGCACACATGGAAAAATCCAATCAGATAAACTTGCCTCTCATATAGCTTCACTTATACCTTATCAGCTGCATGACTAAGCGTACATGTGTCTCATTATATTCATTTTAAATTTTTTTTAAAATTAACTTTTGTAAAATTCGAAATTTTATCTCACTTATAATGCAAATGTTTTTTTGTACAACAATAACTCGACTTTGTTCATTTTTTATCATGCATTGTAAGAAAGATAAATATTGATAACTTTTGGTGATAACCCTAGTCTTTATTTGGTATTTAAAATAAATAAATACAAAATTTATCTGAGTAGGGCTCACTTTAAGATAAAATATGTCCAGAATTTAAAAAAACAGATAAGTAGATTGAAAGATGAAAAATATATTTTTGAGTGGTAGGAATATTGTTATTATTGTTATTAGCATGATAAAGTGTGTTATTTCTGTATTGGTCTTCATAGCGATAGCTAAAATACTCAAGGCAGTACGACGTTAAGGATAGTTGCTTTTAATTTCATTCAGTTGTGGCTGAAACGCCGACGACGACAGTACAAACTTATACCTACTCTAACATACTTATTAAATGCACTTTATAAATAAGATAAAAATAAAAACATAAAACACCATATACACTAGTCGAATTGAGCGCGAGACTTGGCAACTTTCCTCGCGTTTAAACCGCGTTATCTCTAACAAACACATTTTATTAATTATTTCAATTATTTATCTCACCAAGTAAAAGTTTTAATTTATTTTATTTTGCATAAATTTTAAAATAATATTTTTTTTTTTTATCAAAATAAACCATGAAAAGAATTTTAAAAAATAAAATTGAAAATAAAAGTTAGTTTGTTTCTATTTCAATCGTTATCCAGTGCAGTGTGTGCGTGTCGCGATATATTCGCTCGTTATATTCACTTATAAACTATATAAAGTATTAATAGCATCGATTTGTCTTTATCATTACTTTTGCTCCTGAAAATAAGTACATTCGCACTGCAAAAATAATAATAATAGTGAAGTAAAATTGAGCAACTATTGCGAATAAATTCTAGTCAATAGAAAGGTATTTTAAATTAACTTTTAAATAAACCAACAAAAATGGTAACCGCGTATGAAGCAATAACTATTACAGCAGACACATGCCTGCTTTTATTTAAAATTATTTACTATGTTATCGAAAGTGCCTACCGATTAATCGTACCGGTTGAAGAAAAAAATGTTGCTGGGGAAATAGTTCTGGTAAAATTATTGTTTTTTTTTTTTATTTTTGTTAGTTTATGTTACTTAATTTATTTATCTATATTAGATAACTGGGGCTGGACATGGAATTGGTCGTGAATTGGCGTACAAATATGCATCACTTGGGGCAATTGTTGTCTGTTGGGATCTAAATGCTCAGAGTAATCAAGAAACTGTAACGGAGATAATGAAATTAGGGGCCACGGCTGCTCATGCATATCAGTTTGTATTTATTATTATTTTCACTTAAAAGTTTAGATTATTTTTTTTTCTTTTTAATCATTTTTAATAATTATTTTCTTTAATAATTTTTAATAATTATTTTTTTTAATAACTTGGAAGAATTATTTTATTGATTATTATTTACAAGAGGGGTCCACCATTTTAATTTGCAGTTTTTTTTGAAAATTTTGATGTATTTTTTTTTTTTTAAATCCATTAAAAAATAAACAATTTAAAGAAAAAAAAAAAAGTTGATCATCACAATTTTAACAAATTTTCAAAAAAATTTTTTTAAAAATTGTGACATTCAACTTTTTGTTTTGTTTTTAAATTGTTCATTTTTTTATGTATGTACTTTTCAAGAAAAAAAATATATCAACATCAAAAAAATATAAAATATAAATTTTATCCAAAAACATGAGCCAAAATTTTTTCCAATTTTTGAAGGCAAAAAAGCTATCGAAATCTTTGTTTTTTTTTTCTTTTACGATATTTTTTATCATAAATGCGCCGTAAGAACAAGCAGAATAAAAAAAAATTTGAAAATGTTAATTTTCCACCTAGATATAGCCAAAAATAGGGTGGACCCCACTTGTAAATAATTACCATTTTTTAAAATAATTTTTTATTAAATTATTGCATTTAGATGTGACGTATCTGATAGAGAACAAGTAGTAAAAATTTCAGCAAGAGTTAAATCCGAAGTTGGACATCCGACAATATTAATTAATAATGCTGGAATAATGCCTTGTGAAAAATTTTCAAATTACTCCCCTGAGACTGTTAAAAAAATAATGGATATAAATGTTCTCGCTCATTTTTGGGTATGTATGATATAAAAATTTTTTTGTCAAGTAAATAACACTTTTTTGTGTTAATTCTCTTAAATTAATGCAAAAAATTGTTAAATATCTTACACAAAATTTTTTTGCCGCAATGACAAATTTTTTTACTGTGTAAATTTTAAATAAAAAAACATCAATTGAATTTATTTACATATTTAATAACCGATCATTAAAAATTGATTATATAATCTAGATACTGGAGGAGTTTTTGCCAATGATGATTAATAATAATTACGGTCACGTTGTTGCGTTATGTTCAATCGCGGGAATTATAGGCTTGAAAAACCTTGTACCTTACTGCGCCTCGAAATTTGCTGTCAGAGGTAAATTATAATTACAGGAATAATAATATCGCAAACACGTGTTATATTTATACAACTGATATCAATTAAAATCAATAAGAGAATTATCTTTTTTGATGTTGATAATTTAAAATAATTTTATTAATTAATTAGGTCTGATGGAATCGTTGCATGACGAAGTAAATTGGATTGAAAATTATCCGAAGAATAATATTAAATTTACGACCATTTTTCCGTACATGGTTGATACTGGTCTCTGCAAAAAACCCCATATGAGGTGAATTTACATTTTTATATTAAATAATTATTTTTTCAATAATAAATTATATTATTTTTGGTATAGATTTCCCAGTTTGATGGCACTAGTCCCTCCGAAGGAAGCTGCGTCCCTTATTGTTACCGCGCAAAGAAGAAATTTTATCCAAGTTACTATTCCTAGATATTGGAATACTGTCAATTGCATTTTAAGGTAAATTTTCAAATTAATTTTGGACGGAAAAATATTTTCTTTAAAAATTATCGATAAATTCATTTTAATTGTGAGAAATAATGCGGCTTTTAATTAATTACCAATTTTGAAATAAAAATAATAAAAAAATTTACTTATTTTATCGTAAATTAAATAAAATTTATTTCTAAAAAAATTTATATATTTTTAAAGAAAATTTTTTTTTGTCGTATACATTTATTATTTTGAACTAATTAATTAATTTCATTTTTTATTCTAGGTTATTTCCAGAAAAAGCTGGTATCGCAATAAGAGAATTTTTAAACAGCGGAGTTAATGCTGATAGTTAAAAAAATTAAATTTTGAAAAAAAAATTGTAATAATTGATATTTTTATAAATTTTGGGATAAAAAATTTTGGGTATTAAATTTGTAAAATTTTTATAATTATATTATGATAAATTTATAACTCAAAAATAAATTTACATTTATTTATAAAAAATAAATCTTTATACATAATAATAATATAATTAGAATTACTATTTATTACAATTAAAAACAGATTGGAGTTGATTGTAGATGATCGTAACCCTTGAACCCAATTTTATTACCGGCAGTACGGCAGGCAAATGTAATGGCTGCTTGTAAAATTGTTTGATCAATAAAGTCAGTGTTGCTGTACTCTAAACTCTCAATGTTACAATTAAATGTTATCTTTTTAGGAACAATATTAGAATTTGATGATGATGATGGATCTTGATCTGTTTGTTGTTGAGTTTTAGTTATCTGATCTGTATTGTTGGTATTTATTACATTAAATTGACTTTTTTTTAATTTAACGTGATTTAAATAGTGCAATACGGCTGCAGTAAACGTGTCGCCTGCACCTAATGAATCAATTATTTGCGGTGGAGGAAATGCCGGTGATTGAACAATTGTACCATCTGGTGTTCTTGCCATTGCTCCTCTGTCACCCCACGCACAAATAATTGTCGCTCTGTAATTTCATTTCATGCATTAATAATTTAATTACTATTATTAGAATAATTAATAATAATAATAATAATATTTCATATTTGAAAAAATTATTATAATAAATTTAAAAAAGGCCATTCGGCAGCCGAAATGAAAGTAGATTTTTCAAATAAAGAAAATTGATTTTTAGTAAAATAATATAATAACATTAATAATGAATAACTTAATTCATGAATTAAAAACAAAATTCAATAATAAATTTAAAACTATTTAGAACAAATTTTGGAAAAAAAATTATTTTGTGAAAAAAAAGTTTCTCAAATATTTACCAAAGAATTGCAAAGATTATAAGATTTGAATTATAAATGTCCAAATTTTAAGTAACTGCTTAGGAATAACAGTTTCCAAGTTAAACAGAATTTTGAAACCGGATAAAATTTTAATTGAAGAAAACAATATATATAGAATTAATTTGTGACATATTTACTGACAACCTACCCGAAAACATCACACGAAAGACTGATCAATATCGTAATTATTGAATTTGCATCATAATTAAGCTATGATGCAGACAATAATTATAAAACGGCTGCAACAGTAAAACTGTTGCATTAAACTAACTCTAAAAGGAGTAATATTGAGGCTATTACCACTTCTGAGTAGTGAAAATTGAAGCTAATTAAAAGAGCTTTACGATGCATTTTATCGATTTTTAATATCTTGTCTAGTTCTGTAATTATACCAAGTTGAAGTAGTAAAAACATCAATTTTTACGATTTTCAAAATTTCAAAATCCTGTCATTTCCAAATTACTCGCCCAATTAAGCTCATCTTCGAACTTAACCTTGATCTTGATTGATAGATAAAGCATGTTGAGTTTGAGAAGAATCGGTTATAAATTGAAAACGCTATCGTGCTGACAAGCCTCGTTATATCGTATAAATACATACATATATAAACTTTTGAACTATATACATTTTCTGACTTAGCTCGACAAACTGAGTCAGAAAATGGCTAAATTTTTTAAAAGTTGCGCCATGAGGACGGCTGCAATAGTTAAATTTTTATAAAATCTACTAAAAAGTGGTTATTATTATTATCATTATTATTATCTATATTATTGAGAGAATAAGAAAAATTTTGTCTCCAGGATAGTCATATGTTAAAATCGATTTTTTAATGAAATTTAGTGTCATTGCAAAAGCCTTGACTTGAATTTGTGCTTTTTCAAGGTTTCACGTTATTCTCACTGATAGTCAATTTATTACGATAAGTTTTTAGTATTGATATTTTATATAATGATCTTGTATCTTGTGAACTATTGATATTTTTAAAGATATAAGCTCATCCCGATGTTACACTCATCGAGACCTTTCATTTGAGTACCCACATCAATTTTTCATATATTTATATATATTATATATATGTATATATAAAAATCTATTAAAATGCATGTGGGTACTTAAATTAAAGCTCTTGATGAGTGTAACCTCTGGATGAGCTTATATCTCTAAAAACGTCAATAATTAAGAAAGTACATTACAATTTAAAAAGTCATTATTTAATAAAGCAAAATTTCATTTATTTATAGGGTAAAAGACCCCATTAGTGGCGAGGACCCCATTACTGACACTTTCTTTGATTTTGGTACTTATTAGATTAATGAAATCATTCATTTCAATAATCAATAAATTATTTCTAATCTTTAAGAATTTTAGATCAAAAAAATTTTTGATTTTTATTCCAAGTAGAACATTTTTTGATAGAAAGAAAAAGGGCGACTAATAGGGGTTAAAGGTGCCACTAATGGGGTCTTTTACCTTAGTTCACAATTCACTGCAGTCACATAGTGACTTTTTCTTTTTTAATAATAATAATAATAACTTACCCAGATTTAACATCACGTGAAATGTTTTTAATAGTTTCAGTCATATTACTATATCCTCGACTACAAGCAAAATCTTTTGATATAAATGCAATGTCTGCATACGGCAATAAATCCAATAATTCAATTTTATTTTTTTCCAATTCAACACTTACTGTTATCGGTATATTATTATTATTTGATTTTATAGATTGTAATTTACTATTATAATTTTCAATAGATTGCATCATCCCCAATACTCGTGGAATATTTCTTCCCTAAAGAAAAACAAAAAAAAAACTGATTAAATATTCTTAAAATCCTTAAATAGAAAACAATTTTTGGTACTTCAAAATGTATCCAGCGGTAATTATCTAAATTTAATTTTTCAAAATCTTGAATAGTAAGTTCTGGTAAATTTGGATTGTGATGCAATATAGTTCTGGATCCGGCTTGTAAACTCAATATTACTGTCGATGTAGGACAACCAATTTTATCAATTACTGGACAATGACTAAAATCAATACTGTACTTAAGCATGTCGTCTTTCAAAAATTTTAAGTGGTGCTCTGTTCCAAGTGTGCCAAAAAATTCGCATTTACTTCCCAGTTTGGACAATACCGTGCAATTGTTCGAAGCGTTACCACCACGTTGCCATCTATAATCAATGCATCTAAAAAATTTTAATATATTAATTAATCATCTTAAATTCAAAGTTAGCCTCATAATTTTTTAAATAAAAACTAAAAAATATTTTTTAAAAAATTGAAATCATAGTTTTTTACAAATACAATTTTTGTAATTATTTTTTCAATACAAAAAACAATAAAATTTTTTCGATGCCGGCTAACTTAATTTTCATTAAATTATCTTAGAAAAAAAAAATACTTACCTTGTATCAGTATCTTCTAATGGAAAATTTTTACATGTTTGTACAATGTCAAGGCACACAAGCCCGACACACAAAATTTTGGAACTGGAAGACTCTTGTTGCGAACTTCCAACTAATTTTTCATAAAAAGTCGAAATCATTTTTAGTCTTAAACTTCTTTGCACTTAATTATTCTACAATATAACTTATTAAAATTATTTTTTAATGATTAAAAAAAATAAATTAAATATATTACTGCTATCTCATTGTTTTTATTCTTGAAACAATAATAATAAATAGACTTATTAAACAGCTGTCTCCAGCCCAACTGACACTATCAACAATTATTTTATCATCGCAATAATAATTTTCAATTGATAATAATACGCGTAAGTCTAGTGCGCTTTCTGCTTAATCAATTGAAGATTTATTATCAACTACTCGTAAGTCATAGAGGGTACAAATAAATTTATTTTGCCATTAACAGCGGATGGTATGTGTGACCTTTTAAGTTTTTACTTCGACCCTAAATACTAAATTATTTTTAAATTAAAAAATTAAATTATTCTTAAATTTTCAACCAAACATTCCGTGGTTTTTTATTTGATCGTTTATAATAACAACAAGTTTTTTAGATAAATATGACGATATAGCTTTGTAATTATCAGTAATCATTCTTGGAATGATCTTTGATAAATTTTCACTCCATTTTTTACTTTCTTGATTGGTTAAAAATTCATTTGTTGCTGAAACCTGTTGAATTAATTATTAAAATTTCTTACAAGTAATTAAAAATTGGCTGAATTTTAAAATACAATAATTACATAAAATTTTCCTAAGGACATTTTTAATCTAACAGATTTAACTTCAAGGTCGCCGAACATATTTGTGCTGACTATAAAAGAAACTAATGAATTTGTAACAGTTAAGCTGAAAAAAAAAAAATTTTTTTTTAATCAGTTTAATAAAATAAATTTTTTAATTTTAATAAAAAAAATTTTTAATTTTAATAAAATAAATTTTCAAATTTTTTAATTTTAATAAAATACATTTTTTAATTCAAAATTAAGGTAAATATTTACAAGTGGAGTCAACTATTTTAATTTACATTTTTTTGAACGAAATTTCTATTTGATTTTATTGATGTTTTTTTTTTTTTTTGAAAAATACATAAAAAAATGAATTAAAAAAAAAATTTACTATCACAATTTTAACAAATTTAACAAGTTTTCAAAAAAATTTATGAATTTTCTAGAAAATTGTGACATTCAACTTTTTTTTTTAAATTGTTTGTTTTTTTATGTACTTTTTAAAAAAAAAATAAATTAAAAACATCAAGAAAAGATAAAATAGAAATTTTATCCAAAAACATGAGAGCCAAAATTTTTTCCAACTTTTGAAGGTAAAAAAGCTATCGAAATCTTTATTTTTTTCTTTCACGACATTTTTTATTATAAATGCGCCGTAAAAACAAGTAGAATAAAAAAAAAATTTGAAATTTTTAATTTTTCACCTAGTTACGACCTAAAATGGGGTTGACCCTACTTGTAAATAATTACCAAAAATTTTCCTAAATATTTATTAACAAAAAAAAATACTTGTAATGTCCTTTTCCGACGTAAATTCTGTTTAAATACCGAGCATTAATATCATACATTCCGCTAGATATTATTTGTGGAAAACTTAAGTCGACGATAATTCTTCTGAACCAATAATTAACGCTCGATTTTTTGACAATGTAGTGAGATAAATTTTTAATATTGAAATCGGTGAATTTACCTTTAAAGCTATTTAAAAGAAAAATAATAATTTTTAATTTTATTTATATTACCTTTTTATTAAGCAAATAAAAGTACTAACTTAATGATTTTGTTCCTGTAGTCAATAATATGTTGATTAGATAAATAAGGATCGTAAATCGGTTCTTTTTCTCTCATTATTTTTCTTAAATCATTGTTAAGAAAGTTCGACAATCTTTTATCTGAACTCCGCAAAACAGCTGCACAAATTAAATTATTTATAGTTTTAATTATATACTCAACTGAAAGAAAAAAAGGATATTTACTGTAGGATGGCGGCGATGAACCAATGGCCTGGTTAATTGATAATAAAATCATCCAAATTGTCGCTTTCATAATTATCTATCTGAAATTTTTAAAAATGAATCGATTATGTGTAATTAAATATTTATACTCACGTGAGATAAAAAATTATAAATCAACATCGATAAACTTATCGGTTATACTTATTGTATCTTAATAACGACTATATATATATTTTTTAGAGCAAATATTTTCGAGTAATTTAAGCAAAAAATAACTTTTATTACCTTTAAAAAATTATTGTGCTTAAAATGGATAATTTTAGTCCATTAGTTAGAAAGTTTTATTTATTTAAACATTTTTTATGCGAAACTATTACTTTTATTGATAATAAATTGCATAATTAAAAAAAAATACTTGGATGTTGAAAGACAGCACTTGTTGTCATATGAACTCAACTGTTTATTATTTTGACGTATTTATTATGATTATTATACTTTAAGGTATTTATCTTTTTTAATAGATATTTATTTCAAGTGCATTTAATTATGTAGAAAATTTTACTCGAATTAATATAAATTAATTAGTAAAAAAAAATTTTAATAAAGTAAAACAAATTTGATATGAAAAAAAATTTTGTCTTTTACATATTATTATTATTATTACTATTATTATTATTTAATCTTTAAATAAAAACTAATTAATAATAAACATAATAATTATAACTAACTTATATAATCTATATTATTAAGAGAATCAGCAAAATTTTGTGGCCACTGTATTTATATGATAAAATGAGTTTTTATGGTTAAATTTGGTATCGTTAAAAAAGTTGAATTGAATTCGTGCTTTTTCAAGGTTTCATATTATTTTCACCTATAGTCAATTTATGATGATAAGTATTTAGCCTGCATTCGAAAATGCTCTATCTCTAGATACATAATTAAGGAGAGGGGGGGGTAAGGTTAATTCGTACAAAAAAAGGCATGTTTCTTGTGATTTTTTTGCGACGACGCAGTTAAAATCTCTTTATTAAAACTAATAGTACAGTAAAATATGATATTCGAAGAATATTATATAAAATATTCACGAAGAAATATTAAAAAATCCGGCAATTATTCGGACGTGTGTCAGAAAAAAAAGTAGAATGGCGGTGCCCCTTATAACTTGGTGCCGGATCATCTGAAATCAAAAAATGAATGTTCATTCGTTAGTTAATAGTTTTCCCCAGGTAACGCTGGGAGGGTTTTTCGAAATTCCAATTTTTCAATTTTTTGGAACACTTTAAAGGCTCAAATGTGCCGATTTCTTTTCGTAAAAATCGCGTTTTTCCATTCAAAGTGTTCCAAAAAATTGAAATTTCGAAAAACCCTCTCAGCGTTACCTGGGGAAAACTATTAACTAACGAATGAACTTTTATTTTTTGATTTCAGATGATCCAGCACCAAGTTATGATGAGCACCGCAATTCTACTTTTTTTCCGAGACACATCCGAATAATTGCTGCCATTGCCGTATTTTTTAATATTTCTTCGTGAAAATTTTATATAATATTCTTCGAATGTCATATTTTACTGTACCATTAGTTTTAAAAGAGAGATTTTAACTGCGTCGTCGTAAAAAAATAACAAAAGTATACCTTTTTTTGTACGAATTAACCTTGCCCCCCTCCCCCCTTAAGAAATGACCTTGTATCTTGTGAACTATTGACATTTTTAAAGATATAAGCTCATCCCGATGTTACACTCATCGAGTTCTTTGACATAACATTTTTATATATTTATATATATGGTATTTGTGAAATATATAAATATATAAAATATATCAAAAATGCATGTGGGTACTCAAATGAAAGCTCTTGATGAGTATAAAATCAGAATGGGCTTATATTTGCGAAAATGTTAATTATTGAAGAATGCCCATTGCATATTGATAACTAATGATGTTTTTAACTATACAAGCTCATTCCTAAAATTTCTAAATTTAAGACTTGTGTACATGACAACGTCTGTCGGGTTCGCTAGTATTATATATATGTATATGTAAAAAATATATGAAAATGCATGTGGGTACTCAAATGAAAGCTCTTGATGAGTGTAACATTGGGATGAGCTTATATGTTTAAAAACGTCAATAGTTAAAAAAGTACAGTGCAATTTAACAAAAGTCATTATTTAATGAAGCAAAATTTTTGTTTATTTATGTCAATATTTAAGACAGTACAGGGCATTTTAGCAAATATCTTGTGAACTATTGACATTTTTTAAGATATAAGCTCACCCCGACATTACACTCATCGAGACCTCTCATTTAAGCACCCACATGATTTTTTCATATATTTATAGATATTATATATGTATATATATGGAAAATATATCAAAATGCATGTAGGTACTCAAATGAAAGCTCTTGATGAGTGTAACATCGGGATGAGCTTATATCTTTAAAAACGTCAATAGTTAAAAAAGTACAGTGCAATTTAACAAAAGTCATTATTTAATAAAGCAAAATTTTATTTACTTGTAGTTCACTACGGCAGTCCCATAATGACTGCAAGGTTGCTAGTTTATTTGTTAAAAAAATTTTTAATCTGATAAATCAATTTTCATTTATTTTCGTGATAATAATCAGTATTATATTTATATATATTATATATATGTATATATGAAAAATATATGAAAATGCATGTGGGTACTCAAATGAAAGCTCTTGATGAGTATAACATCGGGATGAGCTTATATCTTTAAAAACGTCAATAGTTAAAAAAGTACAGTGCAATTTAACAAAAGTCATTATTTAATATTGCAAAATTTTATTTATTTATAGTTCACAAGTCACGGCAGTCACATAGTGACTGCAAGGTTGCTAGTTATCATAAATTTCTTAGTTTGTAAATGCAAAAAAAAGACATGAAATAATTTCTAAATTATAAAGTAAAAAAAATCCCTACTAATATTATAAATGTGAATGTAAGTTTGTTTGTTACGCTTTCACGCAAAAACTACTTAAATTAACCGATCATCATGTACACATATTCTTGGAAGTATTAGAAGTAACATAGGATACTTTTTATTAAAGAAAAAAATTTATTTTTTACGAAAGATAAAAAAATTGTTTGTCAAAAAATTTGAATCACATTGATTCAGTTCTATTAGAATGTAATGATCTTTGATATTTATCGAAGGGCTTCAACGCGAGCGAAGCAGCGGGTAAATGCTAGTATAAAAATAAAGGAAAAATTCTCTTAATTGTAATTATAAAAATCAAATACGCATTTTATTATTATCAAATAAAATGAAGAATTTCTTTTTTATTAATAATATAAACAAAATCTCTTTCAGAGTTAATTTCAATAAAAAATCCTCACTCGAGATTACCTTTGCAATGTTTTTTAGTATGCGTATTTACATAATAATTAATACAAAGTATGAAAGCAGAGTTATTATAACCGGAAATATTAGAAATACTAATGTCTGCATTATCATTATTATTTTTAAGTAAATTGTTCTGAAGCTGTTGGTTGATAGCGGCTATTATTTTTGGAGTAACAAATGCTACTATTGGGTCATGATGATCAGAAATTACAATTGGTACCAGTTGAGATATATTAGCGCTCCATTCGTTCGATTCCTCTTCATCGTCAAAGTTGTCACTTGACGCTACAAACTGTTATTTGACATTATTATTAATTATTCAATAAATTTATAATTTAAATATTTAATTATATTACATCAAAACCTCCAATTGATATTTTCAAAACAAGAGATTTAATTTGAACACCTCCAATTATTTTAATATATAGTTCAGCTGAAATTGAAAAATCTCGGACAGTTACGCTGAAAAATTTCAGTATTAATTAATTACAATAATTCAAAAAAAAATAATAATAAAAGCATACTTGTAATATCCATTTCCAATATAAGGAATATTTTTATATCGAGCATCTACATTATAAAATCCACTGGAAGTTATCGTGGGAAAATTCAATTCAATATTTACTTTTCTATTCCAAATATTTACATTTGAACTCCTTACAATATAATTTGATAAATTATCCACAGTAAACTTACTCAATTTTCCATTTATCCTAATGATAAATAATTTTTTTTTAAATTAATTATTATTAAAAAAAAAATTTTTTTAAATAAAAATACTGACATTAATGTTCCATCATCGAATTCCATGATTTGTCCATCTGATTTGTACGGATCAAGAATTGGTTGACTATTTCTCATAATATTTCTTAGATCATTTTCAAGAAAATTTTTTAATTGACTATTTAAACTTCTTGCAGTAAATATAAGAGCTAAAAAATAAAAATTGATATAAAATATTTAATAAGAACAAGAAGGAATTTGTTATCACCTGCTTTGTGATTTTTTTGTGAGCCAATAACTTGGCTAATTACTATTAAAAAAATGATACAAATAAACCGCTTCATTATTTACACTCGCAAAAAAAATCAATAAAATTCTGAGAAGAAAAAACAAACTAATTTTTTTAGCAATCGGGAATTTATTATATATACCTTACTACTATCAGCGATAGAAGGACATAAATTTTTTATCTTTATTTAAATGTAACAATCTGTTCACCTGATCTTTGAGTGTAATAAATAAATACGCAAGTACTGATGTGAATAATATTATTGTTTACATATCGTTATCAGTGAATATATTTAAAACAATAAAATCAATTTTTATTTATTCTAATTTTATTTATCATTGCGCTCAATATTTTATTTATAAAAATAATCAAAGTACAAAAAAATAATTTTCAGAGATTTTGATTTATAAAAACAATTAATTTTTTTGAAATGGATGATGCCAATGCATTGTGATCTTCTTTTATTATCTTTGGTACCAATTTAGATATTTTCTGATTCCAAATTAATGTGTCATTTTGGTTCAATAATTTGTTGGACCCCGAAAACTGTAATACAAAAATGTAAAGTAATTATTCATTGTTGAACAATATAATTTAAATTGTTCAAAATTTTTTTATTTACCTCAAAAGACTCTAAGGACAAATAGGTATTGAGATATGTGACATGGAGGTGACCCCAAATGGAAACCCACGCTTCAATATAGATTTTCAAACCTTTTAGATTCACTCTAAAAAAAAACAAAAATAATAATAATAATACTTCCTATTAAAAATTTGGTAATTATTTACAAGTGGGGTCAACCCCATTTTGGGCCATAACTAGGTGAAAAATTAACATTTTCAAATTTTTTTTTATTCTGCTTGTTTTGACGGCGCATTTATAATAAAATATGTCGTGAAAGAAAAAAATAAAGATTTCGATAGCTTTTTTGCCTTCAAAAGTTGGAAAAAATTTTGGCTCTCATGTTTTTGGGTAAAATTTCTATTTTTTCTTTTTTTGATGTTTTTGACATATTTTTTTTTTGAAAAGTACATAAAAAACAAACTATTAAAAAAATATTAAATATCACAATTTTCTAATAAATTTATAAACTTTTTTGAAAATTTGTAAAATTTCTTAAAATTGTGAGTCGACTTTTTTTTTTTTTTTTTTAGAGGTTGGCAATGGCCTGGTCGGCTCGGTGCTCACTTTTCGAAAGAGTGGGACCCGGGTTCGATCCCAGCACGCACCAATATTTTTCAGAATAAGATATGTGCGTAACGCTACATTGCCAACCTCTGGAAGTGGCAGAGATAGCCGGGCGGCACACGTCTGACTTGGGCGATCACCCATTTACCCTGATAGCCAGCGCTTTCTCAGTAAGTGTTGACTTCCAACAGTTACGGTTAATTTATCCATCAAGTTGGCGGTAATTCTTCACTCAACAACAGTTGTAAGCAATTTGACGGAAATCTACGGCCGCAACTTGAATACAAGTTAACAATCAAACATATAGTTAAATTTCCTTTCAACTTTACTACAATTTGACGGAAATACTTGTACAGCAAGTTTTGACGTCTATTTGCAGAGTAAGTTATAGGTAACTAATAGGTAATCGCTCGCTTTGCCAACTCTTACCGACAAGTTTGCTTCAAATTGCGAACGTAGATTGACAGTAAGTTATAGGTAAGGTAGCTATCAGGGTACTTGCTTAAAGATTGAAGAGAAAATTTCCTTATCGATCATGTGTAGTGATGTAATATCCACGTTCGATAATAAGGACATTAGTTAAGCGAACGGGCGGTAGAACAGAGTTCCAGAGGTACAGTTGTTTCGAAGCGATACTGATATTACCAATCGTGGATTATTCAGAAATTCATGATGACCGAAAATACACAGTGCCCTGATAGCCACCTTACCTATAACTTACTGTCAATCTACGTCCGCAATTTGAAGCAAACTTAACGGAAAGACTTGGCAAAGCGAGCGATTACCTATTAGTTACCTATAACTTACTCTCCAAATAGACGTCAAAACTTGCTGTACAAGTATTTCCGTCAAATTGTAGTAAAGTTGAAAGGAAATTTAACAACAAGTTTGATTGTTAACTTGTATTCAAGTTGCGGCCGTAGATTTCCGTCAATTTGCTTACAACTATTGTTAAGTGAAGAATTACCGCCAACTTGATGGATAAATTAACCGTAACTGTTGAAAGTCAACACTTACTGAGAAAGCGCTGGCTATCAGGGACAACATGTTGTTGTAAGCAAATTGACGGAAATCTATGGCCGCAACTTGAATACAAGTTAGCAATCAAACTTGTAGTTAAATTTCCTTTCAACTTTACTACAATTTGACGGAAATACTTGTACAGCAAGTTTTGACGTCTATTTGCAGAGTAAGTTATAGGTAACTAATAGGTAATCGCTCGCTTTGCCAAGTCTTTCCGTCAAGTTTGCTTCAAATTGCGGACGTAGATTGACAGTAAGTTATAGGTAAGGTGGGTATCAGGGTAAGCAACAACTTAAATAAAATGAGTGACCACTCTAGTTAACGTTGGCTAGCGCGAGGGATCTCTGCACACTAGGAGAGGGGCCTAATGCTCCAGTGGTCGATAAAGAAGAATTTCTTATCTATCACTGTAGACTTAACCCAGCTCCGACTGTACTAACATGGGTTTTCTCTGTGGTTTCCCCATGTTTCTGTTCCAATACCCGAGTGGTGAGGATCAGGGTGAATACGGTACAGAAGGCACAAGTCGGTCCACAGCCGCAATGATAAAGGCAGGTTAACTAAGCATAAATGTGAAGGCTTAGGGTGTAAAAGGGCGTTATTACGCCTGTACACTAGAAATCCATTAACTAACTAACTAACTTTTTTTTTTTTTGTTCATTTTTTTATGCAAAAAAATATGTCAATAAAATGAAATAGAAATTTCGTTCAAAAAAATGAAAATTAAAATGGTTGACCCCGCTTGTAAATATTTACCAAAAAATTTTATTATTATTATTATCATTATTATTGTACTGTTCATGTTGAATTTATAATATTTAATTAAATTTGCCCTAGCGGTTTCGACGACTCAACGTAAACTCGAGTTTACGCGGAGTTACTGTGGAGTATACGCCTTCTCGGAGTTTAATCGGAGTATAAGCGGAGTTTACGTGGAGTTTTAGAGGTGTATGCAAGGAGTATCGTGTGCAGTTACGACACGGAGTCAGAAAAGTGTATTATTAGAGTTTTCGAAAAGTTTTCGACGAGTTTTTCCGGAGTCGCTATGGAGTTTACCTCGCGTTTTTGTTGGATATTTTCGGAGTTGCAGTGGAGTTTTTTTGGCGTTTTCGTCGAGTTTTTGTGGAGTATTTTCAGAGTAGCTAGGGAGTTTTTGTCGAGTTTTTTTCGATGTTTTGCGGAGCTTTATAAGAGTTTCGTTGGTGTTTTTTCGGAGTTTTGGTAGTGTTCTTATGGAGTTTACTCGCGATTAATAATTCTTCATGGGATGAAAATTAAATTTGATTTCACAAAGATGACTATAAATAAATCATTTTTCAATAACGGTGTAGTTTTTATTAATTTATTTATTTATTTACAAGTTTAAATATATTTATCTACATAGAATATGCGTTATTCAATAAATATATTATGAAGTTTATAAGTAAAATATACGATACATAAAAAAATGACATCATAAAAAAATTGTCATAAGTTTACAGTTGATCCACTGAAACAATATTATCATAATTTAAATTAGAATTTTATCAATACATAAAGTGATTCAAAACTTTAATCGGTTTCCGTAAGATAGACAGTTTTGTTTATTACTGCGGGTTTTATTAGGTGACTGAATAGTAGCTACGGACAATGTCTCAGCTAGCTTGACCGCTTGAGTCCTTGACTCGTTATGGAACACGGTCCGGGTTCGAGTCCTGGTCTGTCCGAATTATTTTTTTCGGTTTTTCATTCATTATCCATCAGAAAACTCCGATATATCAAAAATATATCCAAAATGCATGTGGGTACTCAAATGAAAGCTCTTGATGAGTGTGACATCAGGATGAGCTTACATCTTTAAAAATATCAATAATAAAGAAAATACCTTGTATCTTGTAAACTATTGACTATTATATATATATATATAGGGGAGGGGGGGCAAAATGGGGTAGGGGTGGCAAAATGGGGTACCCCCAAAATTTCGTAAAAAAAATTTTTTTTTCCAAAAAGCTTTTTTAGCTTTCTAAAATATATTTTAACGTCATTTCCTACAATTTCAGAGGAAAAAAAATTTTTTTTACATGCAGTAAAAAAATTTTCGTCAAATTTAACACAAATATTTGTGTTACTGACTGTTTTTACACAAACTAATGTTAATTCTACATTCTCGTATGTTAAATCAACACATGAGAATGTAAAATTATACACACTAGAGTGTAATTTGCTACACAAAAATTTTTACACTTTACAAATTGACAAAAAATTTTTTACTATGCAGTAATTTTTATCGTCATTGTGAATCATAATAATTTTTTTT